TCCATCCACACAAGTCGAGACCTAAACGGGAGTGCGAACACTCACCCAAATGTCGATATCTACTCACCAAATCGGCTGCATCAAAACTGACTGCCTACGCATCCTCCTGCCCAGTGAATCAAGCCTTCACGTAGTTCACCCAAATGGCCTCCAAAGGCCTCAATCCACTAGAAGAGTTCGCAACCCTTCTCCAATATCACGATCAAGTCTGCGGCTGATAGCACCTCCAATGGCTCCAAACTGAACTAATCCAAACATCTCCACCTGAGATGAACCAATGGCCATATCCAGACTACATCCATCAGCTGTACTCGAATCAATCAACCTATCATCTGCATCCAAATCAACACGATTCCTAATCTGTGTCACATTAGCTAGAATCCTAAATGATGCAGTATGATCTGGAGTTTTCTCCCAATGTGGAGTAGCATCACTCTCCATCCGCTGCGATGTCCTAAAGATCTGATCACCACTCTCTACCTGCCGAGAGTCAAACATGACATACCTGCTCAGAACAAAGTCAGAAGCCAATATCTGATAATCAAACCTGCCTCTGAATCCCAAATATGCTATCGGATTAAATCTCACATCCACGATGTGACCGAGTGCTGGGTAGCCAAACATCCGACGCAACCCAAAATCTGAAGCAGCTCCACCAGATCCTATATCTATACATGCAGCAGTCGGCAACCTATACATGAGATGACCCAAATATGTCGAAGCCCGAACTCCAAAACCAATGCTCGACATCAAACGTCGATCCTCCTCCAGAAAGAAACGACCAATCAAAAATATCATCTCATCTCGTCGCCCCAACGTTTCCTCTCCAATGAAGTGTCTCAAACTACCATGAGCTCGGCACAAATACAGTAGGTCCCTCTTGTACCTCCCTTAAAAACCAGAATGAAGTACCTTCACCTTACTGCCAATACACTTCTTCAACTGTTGTTGACTACTAGGACTTCAAAACCAACGGGACTTGGTTGCAACCCACAAATGCCTAGTACAATCCCCAACAAAGAAAACCAAAATACCAATTACCTTCCAATGATGCCTCCTTGGAAGGCCCCCAAATGCCTGAATGAACACCAAATAGAAGACCCTTCAATCATCAAATAGAAGTGCCAAACTCCACATCGGTCTCCTTGCTCATACCAACGTGCTCAAAAGGACTTCAATATGCAGGTCAATGGCACTTCTCAATAATCCAATGCACCGTATCAATAAACAAATAACTCAGCCTCAAATCCTTCTATCTCGGCCAACTATCTCAAAGCACCAACAAATGAAGAATAGATCCAAACTGATAAAGGAGAGAATTTTACCTCCAAATGAAACCCTAACAAGAGTCTCCAAACAATCTCACCCCGCACGACGGCAACGAGATCCACAAATAGGAAAAATCTCACCTTTATCTCCAAACGAAGCCCTCGACGAGCCTCCAAAGCGATCTACTCCTCCAAATAGCCCAAGCACCAACAAACCAATGCGGAATAAACGAAGAATAGATCCAAACTAAAAAAGATCGTGTCTTTACCAAAAAGATCCCACATTTCTCACCAAACGAAGCCCTAGTCGAACTTCCAAATTGATCTACTCCTCCAAATAGCCCAAGCGTAGCCCGATCTCTGATACCAATTGTTGTGCACAGCGCGGAAGCGGGACAACCAAACGGGCGTGCTTCGAGAACCAAATCAAACAAACGTCGAGATAAAGGTCAAACAAATCAAAACAACGACACAAATCCAAACACAATAGTTTTACGTGGTTCGGCAATTGCCTACGTCCACGGGGCAAGAAGGGGATGGGGTTTTTACTAATAGAGAAAGAGTACAAACTGAGATTATAAATCACTCGAAGGAACAAACTAATCTCACCAACAAGCTCTTAATCTCTCCAAACAAAACCCTAAACAAATAGCTCAGAAAATACCTCTTTTCTGTGCTCCAAATATCCCTAATTTTTCTTCTCCACCAATTTTCTCTTCCAATTGTTCCATATATATAGAAATCCTAAAATCATAAACATACTAGGAATTCTAAACCAAAACCAAATCAAATTAGGAATCCTAATAACCTATTACCAAAATAGATTAGGAATCCTAATAACCTCATGTTACCAAAATAGACTAGGAATTCTAATAACCTCATGTTACCAAAATAGATTAGGAATTCCCTATCCAACATATGACTCATCGGGCATAGTCAGCACTAAGCTCCTGCTGTTGCCCTCGCATTAAACGTCTGGATGACTCACCTTCTTCAGCGACCGACACCTGTAAGGTACCTGCCGATTTAGCTGTCTATTTGGACTCGGCCAAAGTTACCTATTTTCCCTTCCGATCTACTATAAAAGAAAGCTGTGCAGCCTAAGATAACTTTTTTTTTTGCTTTCATGCAACTTTGAATAGTTCCTCTCGCTATTTATCTTATACTTTCCCACTCAAGTTCAAACACTAACTTGATCATCGGAGGAACAACCAGAGACCCCAGTTTTGGCCTCTCACGGCTTTTCATGTGCAGGTGAGAACGTCGGGCTCCGGGACCGGCCATCTGAAGAAGTTTGGGAACCTTAACACCACTATAATCCACAGATAAACCTCTTGTTCGATACCTGACATCAACAATGATGACATTAGGGTGGTTATTTGCTTCTTGTGTTTTTTTCTTTTCGAGTTCTATTTTACATTTAGTTATTGACTTTTTGTTAATTGGCATAGAGATTGATGAATGTGATATTTCTGCAATTTGAAGAATGTAATGTTTCTTTTGTTTTATATTATATTTATATGATATGAACTCTCTTTTTTCCCAACTCACATTGTTGGCCGGTGGTAGTACCAAATTTTTTATAATAATTAATTCTTTTTCCGTACTTTCTCCTTATTAATAAACTATTTCCTATTTGTGGACTTTTATAGTGAGAACTAGTCCTTACAAAGAAATTAGTTCTTCTTTGTGGACTTTTGTAGTAATAACCATGCATAACCCACCGGTTGAGTACTAATCAAATTGGCCACGAGGAAAAACAAACTTCGTGCTAGTTTATTAATTAATCAGTCTTCAACTTGTTGTTATTATGATAATCAAACAGCAAATTCACGAGACTCGTACATAGGAGATATCCCAGTAATTTGTTATTGGAAGTAATGTACTCTTTAAACTGGTCTTTAAAACTTCATTATAGCGTGTTTATCCTATTATACATCACGACAAATATCCATGTCTATACTATTTATAAAAGAGTACTGGGATGTCAAAACTTTTAACTTCTCAAAATATCCTTCAAAGTTCATCCAAAGCACCTTATTCACTCAAAATCGATTCAATCCTCTCGATAGCATTTTTATTCCACTCCAAAATATTCATTCAATTGATTATGATCATTATGACAACAAGACGAAACCTAAATTATTACTTATATATAATATAATCAATCTTTATGGCATTCGTTTTCACTAAATAAGATAAATAGTTAGCCATAGGTACTATCGTCTTATATAATAAATATACAATATTACTATATAAGATAATGAAAGTTAACTGATATTTACTAATTAATTAGTATTGTAAGATACTCTAATTTTCAAATAAATTATTAATAGCAAAAATTAATATTTAATATAATATTATTTAAGGTTATATATAATTATATTATAATATTATCATTTGGCGGCTATATTAATTTGTTTAAACATATGATCGTCATATATATATATATGGGTCTTGAACTAATATGACTTTGTACGTATACTACTTAATTGAGAGCTTTCTGGGGTTTTATATGTTAGTGATTATATCTTAGCTTATTGATTATTTCATAAATTTGATGTAAATTTATTGAATAAATTAAAATGTGAATGTAAATTTAGTTATAGGCGCAAATGCTTAAACATCTAAGAATCAACCGCACATTGGCGTCAAATAATTAATATTGAATTTATATTTAAACTTTTGTTGTTGTGCTCCCACCACGGGGAGCACACCCTACTATGGACCACGGGGAGCATCAAGATATACTTAGGAATTTCATCAAAGGGCTTTCCCTTTTAATCTACACATTTAACCCAAGCAAGATTAATCGCTCAAGATATACTTAGGAATTTCATCTAATTCTATATATGCAAAGTCCATTTTCAGTAAGCAAATTAATGTCCCTGATTTAAAAAAAAAGAAATGATTATTATTGTGTTCGGCTTGAATATTACATAGGCCCAAGTTAAGTTGTCCGTGACTTGTCCAAGATAAGGATTATAATTTGCCCTAGGAGATTTCTCTTAAAAGACCCCTTTTTTTGAAAATCTATGAGCAAAATCGAGGGTTTTTTATTTTAATTAGCAAAATCTAGCATTTTTTTACGCAGTCGTCACTAATTGATTAAGTAACGATCGATTTTGCAAAATAAAGACTTTAAAATACACGTCATGCATCTATTGATTATATTTTTTGTTTGGCTAGGGTGAGGTGGAGGACGACAGTCACATCGGTATTGTTATCTTGGATTTTTTTTTTTAATATTAGTCCCTCAAATCTTCTACATTTAAAGCAGTCCCACAAGTCTTGGTCTTTTAGAAATAGCACCCCAAAAATTATAAAACAGAACCCCAATAGTCTATCAGCAGCAGTCTACACACGATGTCTTGACAATCTTATTAATTTACAGTTGCTTAAATAGTGAAGGATAAGGAATCGAACACAAAACCTCACGCAAACAAACACTCCAAAAATAGTAAATCTTGCGAGAAACAAACACTCAAAAAAATGTCCCCAAAAGCCAAACCTCAATTTCCGTGCTCCTTTTAAAAGAAGTAGAACCATCCCGAAACAACACGTCCACCTGTCCCTAGAATCTAGATTCCCTGAACCATGCAGTGCACAGTCCATCATTCGGGTCGGATCCAAATGCATAACATGGTTCGGTTACAGCCTCAAATGTCATAGTCCGCGTACCGCGTGATCCACCAAATCAGAAACCCCGTCCCGTCTATTTTCATTTTTGTAAGCCCACCGAATCAGATCGAACACAAAGCCTCAAGCAAACCGCCACTGGCAATCTCAGACGAGGAAAGCCAAAACCCTAACCCTAAAATCCCCCAAATCATGGCATCGTCTCGCGTGATGGCGTCGTCCTCCTCCGCCACCTCCGGCATCACCCGGCAATCCTCCATCTACTCCCTCAAATCTCTCGGATCCATGAATATCGACGAACTCTTCCGCAACATCGACGCCGAGGGCTCCAGCGGCGGTGTCGGCAGCGGAGCGCCTCTCCGAGACGATGTCGAGGCAAGGGAGCGGTCTATGGAGGGAAGATTGACGAGGCGGCGAGATGACGCGTGAGGATTTCTTTGCTAGGCTGGGCGGTGACGGAGGAGGACGTCAAGGTCCCGATTGGAGAAATCGGGTCGGGTCGGGTCGGGATTGTGGATCCGATAAGGGGAGGAGGGAGGGGGAGGAAGAGGGACAATACGATGGATCCGGCGGAGAGGGCGGCGTTGCAGGGGAAGAAGAGGATGATCAAGAATCGGGAGTCGGCAGCGAGATCTAGAGAGAGAAAGCAGGTAATTTTCAATTATTTTTTTTCGTTTTTTTTGTAAGCTTAATTATATAAAATTCAGTTATCAGTGTATTTTAAATTGAATTTGGTGGTTTTGAATTTGGGAAGTGGGAATTTTATTGAGTGATGATAACTGGGCAGGTATTTGCTATTTCTAGTATGAGAATACTTATTTCCATTGACGAAAAGGCTTGTGTCAACCGACATGCTTTTTATTACTAGTTTTATGCACGTGCAGCGCACGTGGTTAAATATCAAAATATTTTTCTTCATTACTATAAATAAGTCAGATTCATCTTGAGTCAAATATGTAAAATTGAATTATTAGATTTAATATTTTCATTACTATAAATAAGTCAGATTCATCTTGAGTCAAATATGTAAAATTGAATTATTAGATTTAATATTATTTTTATTTAAATATTATTAAAAATAATTATTAGATTTAATATTATTTTTATTTAAATATTATTAAAAATTAATGTAATAGATTTTTAAGCTAAACTGGGAAGAATATACCTAATTGGGATATCGTAATTGTTATTATGAACTATAGTTATAGCAATAAAGAAATCACATTGCTTATTGCATTGGAAATAGAATTGCACATCATTTTTGGATATTATAAGCTTAACTGGGGCATCTTAATTGATTTCTTAAGAAAAAATATCAATTGACATAATAATATCTTCAAGTAGAATACTAAAAGAAAATAAGTCAAATTAATATTATATGTCATATTCCAAACTCTACTGATCCTAAGCTGTAATATGTAGTCAAGCATGAATAACAATATCATTATGAACTATTGTTCTAGTAAAAAATAAACCACATTTCTTATTACATTGAAAATAAAATTGCACAACACATTGAGACATTATAGGTTCATGTTGTGTAATAAACTATCTCAACAGTAATCATTAAAAAAAGTATGACAAACATGATGTGTGTGTGTGTATAAACCATTTTGAGTAAGGTCCTTTAGGTGAGAAAATGTTGTATAGTGGTTATGTAATCCAAAACCCAGAGAATAAATTTCTACAAAGGAAAACCATATGTCATATTACCATTAATTTATGAATACATATGAGCAATGCAGATAGTTAGATAGATTAGCGTATATTTTCATGAAAATTCAGTAGTAAACGACCAACTATAATCATTATCACAATTATAATAAAAATTAATGATATTCTTTACTAACTTGATACTCGTAATTATGGAATAAATCTTGAGTACGAAATTGGAATTGAGATGGTATTATCCTGTAGGTAAAGAAATAAGTATCAGAAAATAAAAAATCATAAAAATTATTTTAGAAAATATTAACGCACAATAGTTTAGCACAATTAGAATTTATTTTTTAAAGGTGATATATAGATAATATGGGCCTTGGTTAATTTAGGAAATCAATAGGAGATGTCATGCAAAACTGGAAGTATGATGGGGCTTAACTGCAAAACTGCACTTGTAAGTTTGGGCAGTGTATGAGCAGAGTATGGATAATGTCTTTGAGTGATAGAGAGTATTGTATAAGATTGAGAACTTATTTATATATGTCGACATATATGCTAGAGGGGTCCATTTGGAAAATATGGAAGATTTGGCGAGTTTTGTGCAAAATGCACTTATGAATTCTAAAAAAATTGAATGTGGATGGTCAAATATCTTGATTTTGCATTTTATTTTTATTTATTTACTATATCATGGTTGCAAAAAGTTTATACTTATCGTAATAAATACAATATTTATAGAATACGTCAATTGGATGTTACATTTGTTGTAATATATGAAATTGATAGAATACTTAGCGGTTTCTATTTCGATTGCCCCTTTTTGATTCTTATAATCAGGCCATCATGTTGAAACTGATCAATGCTTATTAATAAAAGTTCAAAATTACCATAATAAAAATAATATTATATAATACATCAATTGAATGTTACATTATGTAGACGAAAGATAAATGGATTAACTACAAAAATAATATCTGAGTTTGTTCATGGTTAATGCTTTTATTTCTGTAAGCTATCAATGTGGTGTGCTTCTACTATTAATAATTCCACACATTTCAACTTGGGTTGCTTATGCATTTAACAAGCTTAGGACTGAAGATGGCAAAAGAGAATGCAGATTTGTTTAGAATCTTAGATGGCAGTTGTCTGCAACAGGTGTATCAACTTTCTAATTAAAGTTACTTATTGATATGTTATTTTCTTAGGTAGGCATCACTCAAGTTATATTGAAATTAGTCCGTTAAATCATAAAATTGATATTAGATCCTCTTCTTTATAAGTTTTTTTTATTAATTCAGAGGTGTTTAAAAATTAGGTTTTTTATTTCCCAATTAATAGTTTTGAATTTTTAAAGGTTTTCTTCATAAATTTCAAAAAAAATTAGTTATGAGATATTGAAAGATGTTCGTCCATTAAGAGACTCGTAAGTCGTAAATAACCCTAATTTTAACACATTCACAACATAGAATATACCTTTAGTTACATAGGTAATAACCAAACATGTTGCATTGTGTATTCTGCTTATGAAATTAAAAACATTGTAAAGAGATACGTTCATAAACTAATTATTAACCTATGCGCCATGCATGATTAAAGATATTGAGTAGATAACAATGGAATATTTTATATTCTATAAAATATTTATATTCTTGTAGATTAATATAAATATTAGGACATTTAGTTCACGTGGCTCTTCTAACAGGCACCATTAGATCACAAAAATTAGGTTAATATAAATTAAGGGACTGTAGGTTAATGGGGGGGCTGCTATGAAATTGATTTAAGTTAGAATTCTTTGGGGATCTTTTTATTATCTTAATTGAGTTGATATTTAATTTATGATATTATATAACCTCATCCATGTGTATATGGAAGCATGAAACTCTAGGTTCCCACAAGATTATCGTGGCCACCGAGCTCCTGTGTGCAGTTTTCGCAGAAAACCCCTAACCTTTTATATTTGCAAGCAAGCCTGTATGATCTATCTATTCCTATAAATAAATATATTTCTAACCATGTGCATAATTTTATCTATTAATTGAAACCTATTTTTATGTGATTAATTCTTAATCGTGCTAATAAAAATATATTGTTATAAAAAATTGACAAGTATCACTAACAAAATAATTATTAATCTATTTATAACAGTAATACGACATACTTGTTGAAGAAGACACTAACAAAAGAGGTTTTGAAATAAGGGGACAAATTGTTATAAATAATTGATAAGTATCACTAAAGAATAATCATGAAGATAAAAGGAACATACATGTTGAAGGAGATGAAGTTACTATGAAGATTGTGTAATTTTTTTGTTTATATATACGCATGAGTTGTTGCACGTGATATGATAACAATTACAATTAGAGTTCTCTTTGTATAAAATTGTAAATTGTACAATTTTTGGATTAGAATTGTTATAAATAGAATATATGGTCTTATCTATCATTAAATACAATTGAAAATTAGAATTTGATTAGGATTAAGATAGTTCAAACTTTAAAGTTCACAAGTAATTAGGATTAGAATAAATACAAACTCCCATAAACTAAAAAGGATATGAGACTTATCCAAGACTGTAGCTTTCATATGTGGGTTGATATTTAATTTATAATATTATATAACCTCATCCATGTGTATATGGAAGCATGAAACTCCAGGCTCCAGCCAACGAGATTACTGGGACCACCGAGCTCCTGTGTGTAGTTTTCGCAGAAAACCTACAACCTTTTATATTTGCAAGAAAGCCCCTATGACCTATCTATTCCTATAAATAAATATATTTTTAACCATGTGCATAATTTTATCTATTAAGTCCAATCTATTTTTATGTGATTAATTCCTAATCTTGCTAATAAAAGGTAAAAGAAATTAAGCAAATACAAGCTAGTAAATAACTAATATCATAATTGAATCAAATACACAATATTACTAAAGAAAAATAACGAAGACAATAATACGACATACCTGTTGAAGAAGACACTAACAAAAGAGGTTCCGAAATAAGGGGACAAATTGTTATAAATAATTGACAAATATCACTAAAGAATAATCATAATCATGAAGATAAAAGGAACATACATGTTGAAGGAGATGAAGTTATTACGAAAATTGTGTAATTTCTTTGTTTATATATAGGCATGAGGTGTTGCATGTGATAGGATAACAATTACAATTAGAGTTCTCTTTGTATAAAGATTGACTTATCCAAGACTGTAGATTAAATACAAACTGAAAGCATCCCATAAACTAAAAAGGATATGAGACTTATCCAAGACTGTAGCTTTCGTTTGTGGTTCTTCAATATTACACTATAATCCCATCATAGTTCCCAATTAAAAGCAATGTTTTAAATGTCGAATGTCGGGTTTATGTCGGTCGACCAAAATTCATGTCGGATAGCGAAAATCGGGGATATATCGGGGGACATAAAAAAATATCGGATTATCATATCGGATAGGTTGATATAATATCATAAATGGAATCTTCACATACTTGATAATTATATTATCTAAACATATGAAAAAGTACATAACTTATTGATGTTAGGATCACTAACCAATTGTAGACACCTGATTTTCGAGTCGGGTTTTTCAAACTTGACCCAATAAGTTTAAAACCGTTTTTTCTGAAATTTGGCCGATTTTTCTTGGCCGCAATGGCGCCCGACATACCTGATATTTTCCGACATGTCCCCGACATGACCTCAGAAACGCAATACGCATTGAAATGAAGGATATCATGACGGCTAGGGTATAAAACAGCCAT